ATTAACCTGGACCTTTTTTAAAGACAGCTGGGACTAGTTTGAAACACTTGTCAGACCAGTGGCTCTTTGCGGTTTTAACGTTAAATACGATTTTTGTTTGTGTTTGTCTAAATTTTCTTCTTCTCAGCTTCCCTCAACTGACCATCTTAGCCTGAAATGTTTTATGACGACGTAACGAGATCAATAAAAAAAATTAAACAACAAATACCTTTCAATGCAATGCAAATATAAAGCAGATATATATTCGTCTTTACATATGTCGGGCCCGTGTTGTAATAAGTGATCCAAGAAATATTTCAAGATGGTTGAAATGCCTTTTACCGGGCGGCCGACAGGCGCCAAATGATAATTTTTGACTATCGTTAGCGTCAACCTGATTCAATGTGTATTGTGTTATGTCAAATTATCCTTATTCGTCAGAGGCCTCAATTATTTAAAAGTTACCGTTATAATTGGAAAACATATACCATGATTCGTCAAAATCAATAGATATCTTTTTTATCGTCATGGACAAATGAACTCTATGTTTCTTTGTGGAGTTTTGTGGACTTTTGTATGTATTTTCGTCGTTTTTACTTTTGACCATGGTGGAGTCTTTTCTCTTCGATTTATGGGTTTTAAATTCCCCTTTGCATCGTGTCCTCGTTTAAAAAATACTAAAAGTAACTTAACTTGCATTATACATATACATGCATTACATTTTAAATTAAATCAAGCATTTCAAAGTAAAGACCCGAAGAATTGCGTTTGAATATTCTTATAGCGCCTAGGTTGTCTTTTAAAGTACACGGATGTTTGTGAACCCAATTTTAGATTGAATGCAAGTCAAACAATGTTTTTAAACAATGTTTTTTTTTTATTATATTTCTTTAGAAATAAAGTATTTATATTCTATCAAATAAAATTATATTACATCATTCTTGAATTAAATGCTCTTTGCTTGTATATATATTTGAATGCACGAATATTAATTGGAGCCGAATCTTAATCAAACACATGACATCATTTATAACGAGATATTTTTATATTTCATTAGAAATAAAATGTTATCTGATATTTAAAAAAGAAATCGCCAACGCGTTATTTTCTACATGTATCGTTAACGTCAAAAACTGTAAAAAAAAAATATCGTTTACATTATTTGGCAAGATTTAAACGTTATCCGTCGTGAAGATACTTCCACTACGACCGTCTTTGAAATATTTCTGTGTTGCCTTCATAAGTGGTCCGAGTTGTCTTAAGATTGGTTCGATACACAATTTTGTTCTATAAAAGAATTGAAATAGCCCCTCTCCTTTTTCTAAATAAACTTTAAGAGCATACGATACAGTAAAGATCCCACGATGAAATTTTCTTGAAATTGTACTATAGAGTGCATTTATGACGGTGTCCATATCAACACCAAGTTAATCTGAAAAAATATTCCGTTGATTAAAAGGGATAAAAGGTGCAAATGTATGTCAGGTGAGAAGTTATTGAAAACAAATCATACACTATTTATGTCGGTTATGGAGCAGTTGCGGAGACAAAAGTGCAATCGTATAAACGATGTACGACTCCCAATTACTATATACCGCCCGTTTTTGTAAAGCAGATGTAACTATTAATACGGTTAAATGAATAAATGATAAGTGTATTTCCTGCGTTTATTTCATTTTTCCTCGTTATGGATGAAGAACACAGATTAACCATTGCAGCATTACCTGCCCTGATGCAGACTCCACCAGACGTTATATTACAAATTTCATTCGTCATCTGATTCTAACCCTGGTAGTTCAAGCTTGACCATCGACAAACCAATATTTTACAATCAGGGAAATATTATAGGCTATTTGTACACTTGTGGAATTGGAGAGATGTGTTCACTTGTTTTGCAAGCAAACGATATTCCTTTTACATGTGAAACTCGTGAAACTTTACTTAAAATTGTAGACGATGTTAATGGTCTCTTCAGACAGAGAACCGGATGGGATCATAAGCATTCCTCGGGAAACATAATTCTTCTTGTATGTTATGGTTACAATCGCACCCGTCTTATCATATGATATTTGAAATAGTTGACGTTAGTGTTTTGACTACCAGAGATGAACCATATACATGTATACCTATTTCAAGAAACATATAACCGTCTTATATATTGGCATTCTTTGGATGATTAGCAGATTGGCGACAAAATATATTCAAACAGATATCCAGTATTGATAACTTACTTAGGACAAAATCCAGAATATGCAGAAGAAGTGCAGAAAATTAATAAGACATAATACACGCACTATATAGTACAGGTTGATCTCGTACGCCATCGTAGAATAAAAAAAAAAACACAAAGTTGTTGGGACTTTGTGGCGACACATATGTTTGGCTATAAGCGCTGCATTTGTGAGTCGTCGAAAAAAACTTATTTACATGATAAAAAAATATCATTTAATTTTGCTATGTATCTCAATTGGGTTATTTATTTATTTTTTTTTTGAGAGGACTGTTTCGTCAACTGTAAGTCTAAGTGTAATCCTAGGTATAGACCTAGTTTCCGCAAATGTCTATTAATAACGACAATCATCTTCATATCAAGGCGTCAATCATTTAAAAATTTATACAGTCATTAACCTATTTTTAAAAGTGGTTAGTTCGAAGAACCGGTTATTTTCACTCACGTCGTCGAATTTTTAAAGTTGTTAAAATCTACTAGTATTCAATATAAAACAGTCTGTTAAGTATTTTTTTCCAAAAAAATTATAATTTCACATATTTTAATTAGATAAAAGTATTTTTTAATACTTCATGTTACTTGTGAAGACAAAATTACACATGTTAAATGTTATTCTCTTTGTGTGTAAAATTTAGCTTTAACCACACTCAACTATATTCGATATATATATTTTCAGAATTTTACTTTGCAGGAAGGATTTCCTTCTATTACATTTTTGGGATAAATACTCGAAATTTTCCTAAACTTGTAAAAATTGTAGTTTTTTAAGCCATCTCAATGCATTTATAATTTGGTTACATGTTTGAAAAATACATCTCTTTAACGTTCACATAAGAATCTACGATACTATAAGCATTTCTACATAAGGAAATGCCTGTACCAAGTCAGGAATATGACAGTTGTTTTCCATTCGTTTGATGTGATTGAGCTTTTGATTTTACCATTTGATAAGGAACTTTCCGTTTTGGATTTTCATTAGAGTTCGGTATTTTTGTGATTTTACTTTTTTCAGGATACATTGTCAACGCAGGACTTTTAGAAAATGGCCCTGCTGTGAAATAAATTTATAATACTATTAAAGAACTTTATAACAGCAAATATTACAAAAAGATTCCAGAAAGATTCTGACAGAAAGTAGTCACTATAATGATATAATAGATACCATGAAGAACCTTTTTCACAGTTGTGTATGACAGTCAAGTTAATAAATCTTTATGCATTTATTTAAGATTATTTAAAATTACTTGAATTTGATTTTTAAAAATAAATTTTCATTTCATACATTTTAATTGGATTTCAACAATAATTTCGCTAATGTAATGAAATGAGTTTTGCTGCCAAACAATCATTTTTCTCGTTCTAGTATTTCCCTTTACCAAATATCAAAAAAGCTAAATATCGAAAACGCGTTTAGGCTACATCGGACCAGGCTGATATTCCATTGAAATTGGAACTCTTTATAAGATAGCTATACAGGTAAAAATGGTCAAGTTCGTATATTTGAATAGTTTACATCTGTGTTTATGGGCATTAAAAGTTAAATGTAGGTGCATATTTAGATTTTTTGCATCTTATATATGTGTTTATACTTAAATTGTAGTATGGAGCTTGGATATATTCGTAAACTTTTAAATTAAAGAAACATGTACATAAAACAGGGATTGAGGTAGGTGCAAATACATGTGTATCTTTTTTGTGCATAAACATAAATTCCGCCGAAAAGATCCATCTTTTACCTTTCCGTGTATTTTTGTCGGCGGAATTTATGCTTAAGGTGTTATAGGTTACATATAGCTTCAACGTGAACCTGACAATGATAGGTTTTGTAATTTTAGAAATTTATATGTCAAAATCAAGACAAAAAATCTACAATGGTTTACTGTTCTTACATTTGAACCTGAGTCGAGGAATATTTACAAACACACAATGCTGTAAAACATATGTGAGGAATAGGCTTAATCTGTGTATAAAAACAATAACATTTAGTTATTGCACCTTATCTTGTCTAGATGAGAAAACATGTCTTATGAGCTGTCAATGTTTTCATCTCTTTTAGCTCATTTCTGTTATTTTTATAATAATATTTTAAATCTAGGATCCAGAACAATCTTAAATAAATGCACAAAGATCCAGAAAAAAGTATGAAATTCTTACCTTTTGAATTAAAGGAGTTTGAAAACCGAGTAAGAACATATTTGAACTAATACATAATCACTTAAGTATCGTGCTTTTGGTGTCTAACTATAGATTAAAGTGGTTGTTAACTTTTCAAGTGCACTTATATAATATAAATAGGCACATCCTTTACTTAACTGTCCTTGATGTTGAATTGAAAAACATATACAGACTGACAAGTGCATTTTCTTCAAAGTCACACACGCGTCCAACATTCGTTAAACGTAAAATATGGCCCATATTTCTAGCTTAATTTCAAATTAGACTAGAAAATAATCTAAGAAATGACTAGATAATATGTAGGTTTCCTCTGTGAATATCTACATCGGTACTGGCACGAAAATACGAATATTGTTTTATTCAATTTGCTATTATACAATTATACTAAAGTATTTTGGCGTCGAGCATCACTGAAGAGACGTTACTTGTCGAAAAACGCATCTATAACTGTACAATTGGAACTGTTAAAGCTATGTCACGTGAGCGTTCTTTTTGCGACGTGAACAATAGCGTTTTCAAAGGAAAAACACAGATAAGTTTCCATTAGTTTTATATTGATGAAAACATAAATAGCATACGTCGATAAAAAAGATATTTAACGATTGTGTTAGTTGTATTCAAAATTGAAATGTTTTTGACGTATGAATCAACAAAAAATGATTTGTGACAAAATGAACAAAACCTAGTATAACAAACATGGACATACAAATATATGACAAGAAGAAGGCATACAATGTGTAATTAAACAAACTGATAACTTTTATAATTTTATCTATTAAATGAGAATGGAGACGGAGAATGTGCCAAGAAGACAACAACCCGACCAAAGAGCAAAAACAGCCTAAGGCCACATATGATATAGTTATTGATCAAAATAGCATACCTTATTTGGATATTTATTGTATCAAAATTTGCATTCTTTGATTCGTTTGCCAAAATGGGGTAAACAAAAATCACCATTTTCTTCTCCCTTTTGTCATGTTTAGGATTTAATTGTCAATCCTTTATAATGTACCCTCGACCATCGAACTGTTTTGCAGTGCAGTTAAAACCATATGTACAAATAAAATCACCGCAACAGTTCTTAACACATCTTTGTCTTCTGCAACTCAGACTGAGTTACTGACAACGGTATTTAATTGAAGGCTGTTTGGTTATGGAATAGTGTCGGGAAAAAACGAGAACTGGTATACCTGCGTTCTTGTAAATGGAACAATGAATCTTTGGTTGTGTCTTCTTTAAGTTGTTACTTTTGAAACTAAGTAGGGTTTTTGGTATTACACTCAGGTGGTTGACAATGCAATACAGCATGATGAACCTGTTCATAGTTCGACGTTGTTGTAGGGTTGACCATTGCAGTTGAAGAAAAAGGTTTGTTACACTTATTGTTAGGTGATAGTCGCCCATTACGGTATTGCGGCCCTACGTTGTACCATTTCCAGGTTATAAATATTGTTGTTTATGTATGGATCCCATATGATGCTGGCATACTCCATCTGTGGTCTTATGGGGATCTTATAGCAGAGTTCCTTTGTCTTGCGTGGGCACTGGTAGGTGTTGCAAGAAAGCCCTTCTGTTTTGAATTGTTTTATCATTTCTATGTGCGTACTCCAGTTAATTGTTTTGAGTATGTTTGCTCCCAAATGTTTTTCAATTCAACTTCCTTTAAGACATGGCTATACATTTTATATAGTTGTTTTAACATGTTTTCTCTTGTTGGTAATTTGTAGGACTTCGCATCTTTTAGGATGAAATTTCATTAGCAAGCCATTCGCCTATGCTTGTAGTGCCTCCATATATTCTTAGAGTAGGTCCATGTCTCTGTTACTTTTTATTTGCATGAACAGGACGCAATCATCGGCAAAAAGTCGAACTGATGATTTGTTGACGGAGTAATACGTTAAGGCATAGATGTATAGCAGCAATAGTATTTGACGTTGCCCTGAGGAACTCCAGACTGGACAGGTACATGGTTGGATCTTGCATTTTCGAGGACGACGTCATGTGCTCTCTCGTGTAGAAAATCTTTAATCGAGTAATGTAGATTGCCTCGTATTCCATAGTGATGCTATGTATGCATTGGTTGTAAACAGTATGTTTGTCCAGTGTTAAGTTTTATACAGAAAATAGTAGAACACAATCAGAATTGAATTTTACATAATTATATACATGGTATGTACACAACAATTATTGCTGAGATGCATTCATTTTCCTTCTTTCAGTGTAATTTTCGATTCCATCTACATAAATAAAATCGTCTTCACTTTCACTTGAACTGTCATTGGTGGATAGTAGATTTGGAAATTGGTCTCCAATAACTATGTCAGAATATATTGTCTTATCATCAATTCCGTGAATAATCACTGGACCAGGCAATTGTCGGTCCTCAAATACAATTTCTGCATAGTTCAAGTCAGCTTCAATAATCTGCAATCAAGACATACATTTGATATTATATGATAGGTAAATATGTATTGCGCCATATTTTTCAAACATACACGTATTGGTCAACGATCGCTTACTCACTTTAATTAAAACTAAAACTCTAATAAACAAAACAAAACAAAACATTCAAAGAAAACGACTTTATTTTAAATTAATATTGTAAATGTACTGTACATAAAAGAGAGGCGAAAGATACCAAAGGGACATGTAAACACATAAGTCGAAATTAACTGACAAAACCATGTCAAAAAACCTATTTCCTTTCTTTGCATAAAATCCTTATGAGCCAAAATCCTTCCAATTGGAATGAATTTAGTTCTTTTCCCAGAATGTGACCTACTGAGAAAAATTTTCACCGGGTTTGTACTTACCTGAGTAACACGACGGGTGCCACAGTCATGTGGAGCAAAATCTGTTTACCCTCCCGGAACATCCTGGATCACCACCGGCTTTTGTTGGAGTTCGTGTTGCCTAGTCTTTAGTTTTCTATGTTGTGTTTTGTATTTATACTATTGTTTGTTTTTAGCCATGTCGTTGTCATTTTATTTTGGACATATGAGTTTGAATATCTCTGATAGCTTTCGGCTCTCTTGATGATTACGCCAGACAATGAACAAAAGATGACACAGAATATGTAGATACTCTTTCAGAATGGATTAAGGCTGCGAGGTCGTTGGTACAAAATAAAGAACGCAATGAGTCTATTATCGTTCGTGTAAAATATATCTTTCGAGACCTAAATGTTGTCCAACATCTGTCTACCTCCTTGACAAACATGTTGTTGTCTCTGCAGATCAAGCATCAAATAAAGTTTTTTTTACATGATATAAATGGGTTAATAAGAGAATTAGTTATATGTAATGACATTTCGCTTGGAAACGAAACACTTTTTTTCACGACATATGACCAGTCAAAGATCTATTTTATGTACGATTTTTAATTTCAAACAAAAGAGCAGAACTGTATAATCTTTCACTTAACTGGATATTTAAATTATGTAAATGAAAGATGTTGATAAAAAAAAACTTAAACTATCTTGTTGGATATATGTAATCCATCTTTTTCTGCAAATGTCCATAACAAATTAAAAACAATACGTTATGAATTCCATGCGTCCGAAGCGATTTTCTGGTAAAATCTGACAACACCGAACGCTCCAATACATTAACCAACGGAACAACTGTCATATTCCTGATTTGGTTTTGCATTTTCCGCAGAAAATGATTGGTTAACCCTTGTTTTATAGCTAGCTAAACTTATCACTGAAAACTATATATACGGGCTAACTATTGTTCGTTATATTGACAAAAATAGTGTAAGCAACCAAACAGACGTGACAATAATTGGGATCCAGCAGCCAAAATTGTGTTAACATACATCATCGATATATAAAATAACAAAATTAAATATATATATATGTTAAATGTTTATTAAAAAGGAGTCACTAGCTAGATTCAACAGACATTTCCATTTGGTAAAACATGTCGTCTGATTTGACATTATGTGTCTTCGTTAAGAAAATTGTATTTTCAACGCTTTTAAGATATTCTGTTGACCAATGAAGTTTGATCTATTAGTGTCTTCTGACCTCTCTTATCTTAAACAGAAACCTCTGAAAAACTATATATATATATATGTATATAATAACATTGCACTCTGAAAATATAAGACATTTACCTTTGACATAGGTTCTACTGGTAATTTCTCAATTTTCTGAACTAGTGCACATTGCAAACTCTTTCCTAGAATGATTTAAAATTAAAAATGATGTAGAATGTCATAACGTACCTTATCGAAAAAAAAAAATAACAAAAATACCTAACTCCAAGGCAAATTTAAAAAGGGGAAGTCCATAAAAACTGAAAAAAAAACAAACGCTATCAATTAAAGGAACAAGTAAAAGGACAACTGCCATTTTTCTGACTTGATACATGCATTTTCAAAAGAAAATGGTGGGGTAAACCTCCCACTTGAAGTACAGTTGTTTATAGTTTTGTTATATTGACAAAATTCGGTGAGCAACCAAAACAGACATAATAGGTTAATGTGACCATAATTGGGATTCAGCGGCAACAAATTTGATATCTGTGATTATAAAATGTAACTGTATACTGTTTAGTTTTTAAATCCTTGTTCTCGATCAGGTTTTAGTTTATATCCGGAATAACACGGATACATTTTTAAATAAACAAGTAAAACACAAATCGTCATTACACAGTCACCGATCCGACTAAATCATACTAAAATGATATGAATACAAACACGTTAATTCGACTTCCCGGTTTGCTAAAAATAATAAAGACCTTATCGGTTTTACAAATAGAATGTGAAGCTATGAACATCGTATGTAATTGATTTTAATTATATCAAAGTATGTTCGAAGGTGGCATAATTCGTGAAAAGCAGACCCAAAATCCGGAATACAAGTAAATTGAGAAATCTGCGCTAGAGGAAAATGCAAACGTGTCCCGTTTTTCTAGTGCCTACATTTTACAGCATGTCTTGTTTTGTATGGACAAATACTGTAGTACCTCCCCTATTTCAGCACGTGTTCATGTATGAAATTTCTAACATTATCTACCTCTTAAATTGCTTATTAACGAAATAAGTTTTTTACCATCATTTTCGTTGTAAGTTTGCATCTGCATCTGGTATAGTTGATTATCATGCGAAGATGATGCTATTGGGTTATCAAGTTCTGCTTCACCTCGTCTGGTTTCTGGATCTAAACATTCAGCAGACTGGTACAGGCGGTTTTCAACGGAATTCCCTAGAAATTAAACATTAAAACAATAAACTTATCTTAAACCAAATAGTTTATATCATTGCAACCTTTAAAGTTATTTGTATTTTCGGTTTTCGCTAATATTCTATTTTATATACAAAACCCAAGATGTTTTACCCCCAAGTGTGACTGGGAAATAGAAGTATGGTCACTACATTTAGTCATCTTACAACTGGCGGTAAAACACTTGCCAAATAAAAACCAATGCCTCGAGTAAAGAGAGTGCCACGTTCTTCGCACGTTAAGATCCCATTCAACAATTCTTTGAGGGATCCATAAGTGGCCTGTTGCAAGGCTAAATTTGTGTCCCATCGATTTATCTTTATTTTTCAGTAGTCGTCCTCGACCTTCTTTCCAGTTGCCCTCTAATGCAGGACCTGCCTTTTGTATGTATTATTGATTTGTTGTCGTCCTGAAAATGCGTGAAACATTTGCCACTGGACGTTAAGCAACCGACAATCAATCAATCATTGTTAAATGTCGTACGGTGAACTTTAGTTGTTAACTTGTGTGTCATGTGGTTTCCTCTGGAGATTTGTCTCATTGTCAATCATACCACCTATTCTCATCTTCAAAATGAACGAAGGAGCTAAACAGTCAAGACGTTACCTTTCCTATTGATACACTTTATTTAAAAAAAATAACCGTTTACAAAGCTTTTTAAGGTGGCTCGGGTGTCTTCCTCCATCTTGGATTTTAAGGTAGCAGATAACAGTTGGTCTAAATCTTTGATGAAATGTGCAATTTTTTAGAGTAGTATGTAATTCATGTGAAAGACTTTTGATGTAAATATGGAAAAATATGTGTTTTATCATATTTACGGCTGTAATTTAAAAAAAAAAAAACACTATATATGTGTTTGATTCATTTCTTTCAACTTTGCAAAATAAGGGGAGATAACTCAGATAGTAGGGGAGATAATTCAGATAAAGTAATTTTTATAATAGAAAGTATTGTGAATTTACCTATTTTAATATATAGCAAGAAAACAAGTTCGGTGACCCCATTTTTTCTTTTTCTTATCTGAAAGCATGTTATAGGAGCTATCTTCGCACATTTTATCTTTTTTTTTATCATGTAGTTTTCTTTTTGTCACACAAAATTGGATTTTCCATGCATAATCTATACAAAATCTGACAATTTTGCACAACCTGTAGCTTGAAAAAAAGTCCGGTAACCCATACTTTTTATTATATTTTTGAAAAAAGCATGATAAAAACTTCTTTTTGACAAATTATTAAAATATACTATGGATTCTAATTAAGACGCCCCCGCCACCTGAAATACTTTATGCTAGTATGCAGTAGATAATGGATTCATTAAACTAAACAATTAATTGTGTTTTAATTGTACCTTGAGTATCCGATGCATATTCATCTTCAGTGCCACTAAAAGTAAAGTTAATATGTGTATAATTATTCAATAGCAATACTATTCCAAGGCAGAACATTTTCCAAATTTTCTCTTCAATCATTTTTTCCAGTGATATTCCTTCCTTAAAATACTGTAGACTGTCAATCCACAACAGTATAACTGATCATGTGTCACTTTTTAATTCGACAATGTCTGTGATGTAATGACCAACAACTGTCTGGACACTTTTTTGCTAAAATAGTTTATTACTAAAGATTTTTTTTATCTTCGGCATTCAATAAATTTGGATAAAAGTTACTTTGTTTCAAGCATCATCGGCGAAAAATAATGTGGTAATAGCAAATTAAATAAAAAAGAAATAATTCTTTCATGTCACGTTCAATGCTTATTTTCATATGGGAGGGCAGTATATTTGTCATTATCTTTACAATGAAATATTACTACTTCGGAATTGGTCATTAATTTCTATAGTAGAAAAGTAAAGTGTGGTATCCATTCATGACACGAAATCAGTACATGAACAGCAAAAAAAAAAAGCAAAGATACAGCGCTTTTGTTGCTGTTCTTCATCTATAGGCCTTCAACACGTAGAAAAACTCTATGAGTGGCGACATACGTATAAAATTAGCTTTATGTACATAATTGATCTTTAATAAATGTATATATCATTCAGTTTTCTCAGTTGTTCCACTCCATTCTCATATGATAGGAATGCAATATCTTTTCAATTACAACATACCTTATATTTGTTCCAAATGATCCTTTTGCTGTAAAAAAAAATATCAAGAAAAATTTCATTTTAATTTTTATCAAGAGAATTTCTATGACATTGTATAATTTTCCTTTTTGTTTCATGAACTCAAAATCGTATAGAAACTTTTATTTCGGATTAGCGGATCACATTTCAAGCAGGTACTTGAACTTAAATATTTTATGGGTAAAAATTATATTTTTTGGATCTTGTCGAAATAAGTGGCAGAACAGAAAAATCAAGTTGAAGAAAAATAGACAATAACATGGTCAAAAAGAAAAACGAAGAAACAGAATTTACAAAACACTTCACAGAAAAACAGTAAGGAGCAACACGAACCAAAGCAAAAACCCGGAAGTAACCCCCTTTTTATATTGTTCAATTGACACCATTTAATCAACAGTCGGAGGAATTGTATTTCGACAGACAATCGCCATCCTTATTAAAACCAACTGTTCACCTCAGATTGGAATTGCTAACTTATTTACTTATTTTCAAAGGCAAACTTCATACATAAGCCTCTCGGGAAAATGTAATGAAGCTCCCATTTACATTTTATTTCATGTTTCGCTTTAAACATGAATAATTCAAAGTTTGGTGACTATTTTCTTTCATTCTTTTGTGCATTTTTTCTAAATGATCTTTAAACAAAGGACACCACGGATATACACGGTCTGCTTCGTATCTTGATACACATCTACAATTGAAAAAGAGGGTCGGTTGAAAACTTTACTTTACGACAAAAGAGCTGATTTCAGCTTCCAAATTGTGAACTTCAAAAAAAGAGATTGATATTATAAACTTTCCATTTCTTTGTAGCAAGATTTCTTCATCAGCTCTTGCATATGGAGTTTATATCTCCGAGTTAATACGACATTCTAGTGACATGATATGTGCCACTTTTCATAACCACTATCCGGTCGTCCTTTCTTCGATCGTGACATACCTGAATGCATCTTATTATTGTATATTTTCTTGCAATGAGTACCGCAATGGTTGAAGTGCTTACCCTTACGGGAAACCTTAATTCACCCCGGTTTTGATTTGTGTTCGTGTTAATCAATCTTTGGTTTTCAATGTTGGGTTTTGTTATTGTTGCTTACCTTGTCGTCGATTTTCTTTTTGGCTAGGTGTTGTCATTTTTTTTTTTTGTTATTGGTTTTTTTTGGAATAATGATTTTTGGTTGCCCGCTTGGTACCTTCACTTTTTTTATTGGTATATACCTTTAGATTATAATTTAGGTCCTTTCAGCAATACCATTACTGGCAAGTTAAAAAAAAGAGATATAAGATATTGCTTTCATCCGTATCTTATCGCTTTATTATGTCATGTACGCTCATCTCTAGATTATATTTATTTTATATACAATTAATTACTGCATTTTTTTCCAAACAATTACCCTAGTTTTAAAGCAGGTGGCCTTATTTCGTTGATGTGTTCATTTCGAATATCAGCAGTTTCGTAAATTTAAAAACGTTCATTGATAGACTCATATAAACGTAAAATTTCAATATCGCTTTTGAAATACAATGTAAGGTTTAACTAACATATACTATTTACCTTTCTGTTTTATGTACAGAAAAATTCCAATTCCAATAGTTAAACACAATCCAATCGTGGTAACTACTGGTAGTGCAATTAGTTTTCTATGCAAAGTAGACTCTTCTTGTGATACCTCTGGATGAATGAAATGATAAACAATAAAAATAAATGAAATAACACTTTTAATTATATACTTAGTAGTAAATACAGATAAATTGTATGTGTAATACAGTCATTGGCAAGCGTGCTGTATCAGTCACCCGTGATGATATCGATATCAGCACGATTGCAAAGGCTTTATCACACCTTTAATCTGTATGACGTCACGTCATCGATTGCAGTTACTGTTGCAAAGGCTTTATCAAACCCCTAACCTGTATGACGTCAAGTCAAACCTCTAACTGTATGACGTCATTTCAAATCCCCTTATATGTATGACGTCATGTCACATAAAAAACATCTACGTGAGGTACATGTATATAATAAAGTGTATATGATATGGCTTTTTCAATATCACACACCGTATCAACCCCAACCAATATAATCCCTCGAGCAGAGCTCTTGGGATTATATTGGTGTCTTGGGTTGATACGGATGTGATATTGAAAAAGCCATATGATATTTTCTATATAAATTTTATACCACGAAGACCTTTTCATATGTTTCTTCGTATGAAACGATATAACCCAAATCTGTGAAAGTCACAAACATGTATTGGCACTTCAACGCGTATGAGCCATTTGACCAAACTAGACATAAAATAATAACCAAATCCATCTACGGTCAACTTTGCTTGAGGGAGTTGTAACTTTAGTTTTTTTTACTAATTTCTTAGTTTATCAACGGCGAATTAAAAAAAGGTATGTTAATAATCATTTCAGAACTTATGCACTGAGTACTGAGCTGATGCTACACTTGGGTTCCAGTGCCAAAAAATGAAAATAACATTGTACAATTTTGGTGCGCCGAAAAAGCTTTTCAGGAACGCCCAAACTAAACACTTTGAAAGCCAAGAATTTATAGAAAATGGATACGTAAGGAGTTATACGGTTAATGAAGTAAATTGAAAGAGATTGTCTTTGATTGTGAATACGTTCTAAGATGTTAATAGATGCAGGACGTACTACAAAGACACCAACGTGCAATTTCATCCTCAACTTATGTATTTTGCAATCTAAATCTAAATGCTTTGCAAAAATATTCTTTTTTAAAGAGTATGCTGCTTTATACAATAGAACTTGTTTGCAGCTAAGCTGGTGTCCAGTATATAAGTAGGAACAGATTTAGGAGACACTTACGTGGTGTCACGAAAGCAACGTAATCTGTTTTATTACTATCTCCTTTCTTGTTTTTAGAAAATATGCAAATAAAATATGCTGTGTTTGGAGACAGGTTATCTAAACTGTGGTCCATTTTCTCCTCTTTAGTTTCCTTTTCAGGTACTCTTACTGTAAAGTTCAAACTGAAGTCTGTTCCAAATTCTAAGAAAAATTCTTGGTCGAAACCTCCATTGAAACCTGGAATCCATGACACGGTTACTATCTGTCCTGTTGCTTTAACTGAAACATTTGATGGTGGTTCCGGGCAACCTGTAAATGTAATTTGTAACAGAAAACAAAATAATAAAATAGTTTCGTGAGCAGTAGTTAGAAACAGCTTTTTAAAACTAATAAAATTGATTGTAATAAAGGGAAGAAGAACTAGTTCTGGATGAAATCTAACACATGAAGTTCAACTTTAAGATAAAAACGACACGTCGTTTTTGCTTTCTGAGGCGTTCAAGCTATTGTTTAACAGTGAGTATTCTTGTCTATGTTCATCTGTGAAAGCACTTTGCGTTACTTTTGATTTTTTTCGTGCATTTCTTTACACGATATACTAGTTTTATAAAAATTTATTTTCATGAATTATTTTTCCTCTTTATATGTTAACAAATCTGCAGTAATCAAACATGTTTGTAGTATATTTATAAAAATATGCAGCTAATTTCTTTTTTAAATATTCATTTTAAGATTTTGAGTTAACTTACTTTCAGATTGTACTCGTACGTAGAAGTAATTACATCCTACATCGTTGCGTGCTTCCACAATGTAGCTCGTGAAATCGTTTGCTGATGTCAAATGCAGGTGAAAAGTAAATTGTATTCCAGCAACTCTTATTTTTACCCCATAAAATGTATCATGTGTGGTTATATTTTCTATCGTTGGCTTAACCCCAACAGTCGCACCATTCTTTTTAATTATAAAAACTTGGCTATTATAGAGTTTATCATAAACTTTAATGGTTAATGTGACTATTTTTCCATATTGTCCAATTTGAACTGGTGTATTGTCTGCAACAAAGACTGGTGATACTGGAATAAATAAAACATATTTGTCAAGGTAAATCTGAGTATTCACACGAAACTCAATGACTTCAATTTCAATTGAATTATTTGATACATTCAACCCAGTTGTCTATATATGCTTAAAAATTTCTTATAAGTAACTCAATAACCAAAACATAAACTTCATGTTATTTGTCAAAACGTTTTTATCGTCATATATCAGATTCATAAATCGTTGTAAGGTTGCTACCTCATAATTCAAATAATATGACTGACAAAAAGGAGTGAAACCAATCAAAGTGAATCTAGTTTGGTCGATAGGATTTCATCGCCTGCTATGCAAACAGCGAACCCTAATGAGCAAGTGCCAAATTTATGTGATAATGTGAACGCTAACTGGTTTCATTTAGATCGATTCAAATTTAGATCGAGTCAAAAAATGCATGGTGTGAACGTGGTCTTATTTACAGGCATGGTCAAACGAGTCTGTAGGCTGACTGTAAATTATCTGAACATTTCTAGTCGACCTCATAATTATTTCAAACATTTTAATAGATGTCACTCAACTTTGGTCTATTTACTTTCGTTTTTCGTGCATTTTCAAAGTCATGTCATTTTTCAACCAGGCCCAGAAATATGAAACATAGAAGGCCCTGCGGTTACATTCAATTTCAGAAGCGGATTTAGAGGGAGAGGCAGCCCGGGTTTCCCTTATAAAGGCTACATTTATGGTTAATGCAGACTTTTTACCTAGTGCACACCAAACGTTGTGTAGTTTGGGGATCCCCGGGCACCCCCTTTTTAAAATTTATCCTGGAACCGCATTTGAATTTGTTCGCTTATTTGTTCTTTGGTCTTTGAAACCACATCTCATTAATTTTATATGATGGTCCCATAAAAAATGTCGAAAATGTGTATATTTCATTTTTTTTTCTAGCTTCTCTCATGCGATAGCAGTACCTTTTTGGTCACTATTTATGTGTTGCGTCTAAAAACGAATTGTAACACTTAATAGTGACTGAACAGGTTTAACAAATACTTCTCAAGAAACAGAAAAGAAGACAACTTGGAACAGCACCAGACTATTCATGAATAAAAACTCAGATCGGAATAGCAAGGACGATATGTTAGTTACACGTTCTTGGGAATAGGAAGGAAAGCTATACTGCAAATAACGCAAATTTATATCAGGGTTTATCTGGGTTTATCTGTTTTTTCGTATATTTTCTATTCAAATTTTCACACAATCGTTCAAAAAAACTAATCTAACTTTACTGAAAATTTCAAACAATGACAAGTGTTTCATTCACAAAAATGTTTGTGCGTAAAAAAATCACGCATGATTTTGTGAATGAAAGGGAAAGTATATCCTTACGCGCACTCACGCATGTCAATTGCGAACTAACCTAATGTTTTTTTTTCATCACGACCAGTCCACTAATACTGACATTAACAGCGAGTACACATCAAAGGAAAAATGCACAAATTACCGATAAATATCTATATTACGCATTGCAAAATCATATAACGATACGAATCACATTTAAAATAAGGACTTGACTTGACGAGTCGGCCTCTAGATGTTATTGTCTTTAACTTCCCTTCTGAAGTAACTATACCTTACTTAGTTTTATCATGGTACTATTTTTGATTGAAAGAGGTCTCTTTTATATATATTTTGATTTTAATCTATGAAAATGACACTCTGCGACTTGCATACTATCATAATGCATATGCATTGTCGTTTTAGATCTACATTGTAAAGATTTTTTTAACCATTTGCGTTAACTTGCCCTTGACTGGATGCGCGTGTAAATATATTACATGCATCATAACAAAATTTCGAGGAAAATGAACAGTTATCTTAAAACTTGATTACATAGGTAATATCTGAGTTTGAAAAGCATACATTTATACTTTAACATGGTTCACACCAAACAATACAACATGCTTTTGATTAAAATGCGTCTAATAGACTGCATCCATTCAGAGGAAAACAAAGCTTTAAGAATGCAACCACATAGATAAATTTAGAAATGAAAGATACATTCTTTCCATATTTGGAACATTATACATCCACAAAAAAAATATAGTATGAATGAATGAACAACGTCGAGAATGTGACCTATTATAATTTCTGACCGACATATTACAATGTAATCCAGGTATTAAAATTACAAATTTAAGTGTTAATTATACGTAAACTTTAAGGTAAAGTGTCTTGTACGTATAAGATTGTAGTGTGTATTTTGTAGGATTAGTGTCAAGCTATTCAGCAATTCTCATCCTGTAATTCTCTTTATAAAAAGCTATCCTGGAATTCGTAATCCTGCAATTGCGTTTGGAAAACTACTTGAGCGACAATTTTATTTTTCTTTAAAATCATAGTTTTTGACTTTTTTGTTCGAAAACAAGATTTATATAGAAAATCAAAGATTTTTATATCCCATTAAATAAATTCTAACTTTAGTTTGCAGATTTCTAACTCATATTTACGGTTTTGTAATTAGCATTTACAATAACAAAAATCATGATGACGATTCAAAAAAGTATTATCTGTTAAGTCCAGGATGTGATTCGTATAAACGCATGTTTAACCCACATTAACGATTTTCAAAACTCATATTAACAACTAAAATTATAGGATTTTGATGAAAAATACATTTTTATGGTATACCGACAATACAACTTCTATTTGAAACTGGGTCACCCACTTTCCAACCCATTGCCTCGGCAGTTCTGTATGGCTAGGGATTATAGACTCTACTCTAATACATAGCTATTGGATAGTACTACAGCAGGAGGGTAAGAATTTCTTGGTTAAGCATTCTTAAAGGCCGAAAATTTCGTCCGAAACATGGAAATAAAGCCAAATTCGGTAAAATACGCATTGGGGACACCCACTTTCCGACCCATTGCCTCGGTAGTTCTTTATGACTAGGCATTATAGACGCTGCCCTAATAAATAGCCATTGGACAGTACTACAACGTGAGGGTAAAGAATTTCTGGGGATAGCATTCTTAAAGGCCGACAATTTCGTCCGTAACACGGAAAAAAGTCAAATTTGATACAATACGCATTGGTGTCACCCACTTTCCAACCCATTGCCTCGGCAGTTCTGTATGGCTGGGGATTATAGACTCTACTCAAATAAGTAGCTATTGGATAGTACTACAGCGCCGGAGGGTAAAGAATTTCTGGGGTAAGCATTCTTAAAGGCCAAAAATTTCGTCCGAAACATGGAAATAAAGCCAAATTCGATAAAATACGCATTGGGGACACCCACTTTCCGACCCATTGTCGCGGTAGTTCTTTATGGCTAGGGATTGTAGACTCTACTCTAATAAATAGCTATTGGATAGAACTACAGCAGGAGGGTAAAGAATTTCTGGGATAAGCATTCTCAAAGGCCAAAAATTTCGTCCGATACATGGAAATAAAGCCAAATTCGATAAAATACGCATTGGGGACACCCACTTTCCGACCCATTGTCGCGGTAGTTCTTTATAACTAGGGATTATAGACGCTGTCCTAATGAATAGCCATTGGACAGTACTACAACGTGAGGGTAAAGAATTTCTGGGGTAAGCATTCTTAAAGGCCGAAAATTTCGTTCGTAACACGGAGAAAAAAAAGTCAAATTTGATACAATACGCATGGGGGTCACCCACTTTCCAACCCATTGCCTCGGCAGTTCTGTATGGCTAGGGATTATAGACTCTTCTCTAATAAATAGCTTTTGGATAGTACTACAGCAGAAGGGTATAGAATTTCTGGGGTAAGCATTCTTAAAGGTAAAAAATGTCGTCCGAAACATGGAAATAAAGCAAAAGTTACATGTTCGTGGGTTTTTAATTTCGTGGATCTTAAGAAAAAACCACAAATAGTGCAGAATTGAAACTATTAGAAACGAAGATTACAAATGTCTCGATTGAAGGAAATTGCAAAGTAAACATTTAAATTGTTGCATCGGTGTAGTGATGACACTTATTAACCTGAGATCGAGTGGTAAACAGATGAAAGACCATCAAAGGTGTTAATTAGGCCATAAACATGTCACTTAAAGAAATCAGTTACATAAAAAATGCTATAAATGTACATTGAATTGTAAAATTAATTCCTATCAAAAGCAAGCCCAGCATGAAATTGTTATTTCCTGTACAAGAATTATGATGATATAAAATTAACACTTTATCATAGCATATCATCACCGGAAATCTGACTTTCATCGATCAAAAATATTTTTTATGAGAATTAAACGAGTTGTACAGCTTAGGTTTTTAAAGATCAAATGGGTATACTCCTACTTGCAGTTGTAGTTCATAGTGCATTTGCCCTGCGACTACTATTTTAGTAGTCTCAGATTTGCCGATATTCAATGTATTCTCTACATGGGAATCTTTTAATGTCTTGATTTGGACAACAGTTGTTATATTTCGTTGGACACTTAAATTCGTGGATGACTTTATCCACGAAAACCACGAAAATTGGTTCCCCACGAATAAAAGTACTTTCACAATAGCCATTGGACAGTACTGCAACGTGAGGGTAAAGAATTTCTGGGGTAAGCATTCTTAAAGGCCGAAAATGTTGTCCGAAACATGGAAATGAAGCCAAATTCGATAAAATACGCATTAGGGTCACCCACTTTCCAACCCATTGCCTCGGCAGTTCTGTATGGCTAGGGATTATAGACTCTATAAAACATAGCTACTGGATAGCACTACAGCAGGAGGGTAAAGAATATCTGGGGTAAGCATTCTTAAAGGCCAAAAATGTTGTCCGAAACATGGAAATAAAGCCAAATTCGATAAAATACGCACTGGGGACACCCACTTTCCGACCCATTGTCGCGGTAGTTCTTTATGGCTAGGGATTATAGACGATGCACTCATGAATAGCCATTGGACAGTACTACAACGTGAGGGTAAAGAATATCTGGGGTAAGCATTCTTAAAGGCCGAAAATTTCGTCCGTAACACGAAAAAAAAAGTAAAATTTTATAATATACACATTGGGGTCACCCACTTTCCAACCCATTGCCTCGGCAGTTCTGTATGGCTAGGGATTATAGACTCTACTCTAATACATAGCTATTGGATAGTACTACAGCAGGAGGGTAAAGAATTTCTGGGGTAAGCATTTTCAAAGGCCAAAAATGTTGTCTGAAACATGGAAATAAAGCCAAATTCGATAAAATACGCATTGGGGACACCCACTTTCCGACCCATTGTCGCGGTAGTTCTTTATAGCTAGGGATTATAGACGCTGCCCTAATGAAAAGCCATTGAAAAGTACTACAACGTGAGAGTAAAGAATTTCTGGGGTAAGCATTCTTAAAGGCCGAAAATTTCGTCCGTAACACGGGAAAAAAAGTCAAATTTGATAATATACGCATTGGGGTCACCCACTTTCCAACCCATTGCCTCGGCAGTTCTGTATGGCTAGGGATTATAGACTCTACTCTAATACATAGCTATTGAATAGTACTACAGCAGGTGGGTAAAGAATTTCTGCGGTAAGCATTCTTTAAGGCCAAAAATTTCGTCCGAAACATGGAAATAAAGCCAAATTCGATAAAATACGCATTGGGGTCAACTACAGCGGGATAGTACGCCATAAGTAACATTAATTTATGATTTCTTTGCTTGCCATACATTGATTACAAAAACTGAACCCACCATTTTATTATATTCAAGCGCCAACCACTAACACAAAAAATGCGTAATACACTCGTTCAGCTTTATTTTTACAAGACATTTGCTATAATACAGATAATATCAGTTACTCATTCAACTTAGACATATTGTTATTTTTTGGAAACTACTTTACAGGATGCCGAGAGTATGGAAGGTCATTTCCCAGTATGACTGCCAAAAAATTATATAATGAAAACATTATTAGATAACACTACATTTAGATATAATCTGATTTTTTGGCGTAAACATTACTAAGATGCAAACTTTCGAATCTTTGTAATATAGAATGTGTTTGATTTGATTTGATTTGATTTTTGGTGATTTAACGCCACTTTTAAGCACCGCTTTTGGTCTATTTCGTGGCGGCCAGTTTTTATTGGTGGAGGAAGCCGGAGTACCCGGAGAAAAACCCCGACCTTCGATAGGAAAACTGACAATCCTAGTCAATTAAGATAGTATGTGTTTGATGAAGATGCGTATTTTATTGAATTTGGCTTTATTTCCATGTTTCGGACGAAATTTTCGGCCTTTAAGAATGCTTACCCCAGAAATTCTTAACCCTCCTGCTGTAGTACTATCCAATAGCTATTTATTAGAGTAGAGTCTATAATCCCTAGCCATTCAGAACTGCGAAGGCAATGGGTCGGAAAGTGGGGACCCAAATGAGCATATTATCAAATTTGAATTTTTTTCCGTGTTACGGACGAAAGTTTCGGCCTTTAATAATGCTTAACCCAGAAATTCTTTACTCTCAGGTTGTAGAACTGTCCAATGGCTATTCATAAGGGCAGCGTCTATAATTCCTAGCTATAAAGAACTACCGCGACAATGGGTCGGAAAGTGGTTGTCCCTAATGCGTATTTTATCGAATTTGGCTTTATTTCCATGTTTCGGACGATATTTTCGGCCTTTAAGAATGCTTACCCCAGAAATTCTTTACCCTCAGGTTGTAGTACTATCCAATAGCTATTTATGAGAGCAGGGTCTATAATCCCTAGCCATACAAAACTGCCGAGGCAATGGGTCGGAAAGTGGGGACCCCAATGAGTATTTTATCAAATTTGACTTTCTTTCCGTGTTACGGACGAAATTTTCCACCTTTAATAATGCTTACCCAAGACATTTTTCACCCTCAGGTTGTACTGTCCAATGACTTTTCATTAGAACAGCGTCTATAATCCCTAGCCATAAAGAACTACCGCGAAAATGGGTCGGAAAGTGGGTGTCCCCAATGCGTATTTTATCGAATTTGGCTTTATTTCCATGTTTCGGACGAAATTGTCGGCCTTTTAGAATGCTTACCTCAGAAAATATTTTACCCTCAGGTTGTGGTACTATCCATTAGATATTTATGAGAGCAGAGTCTATAATCCCTAGCCATACAGAACTGCCGAGGCAAATGGTTGGAAAGCGGGTGTCCCCAATGAGTATTTTATTAAATTCAATTATCTCAGGTTGTAGAACTGTCCAATAGCTATTTATTAGGACAGCGTCTATAATCCCTAGCCATAAAGAACTACCGAGACAATGGGTCGGAAAGTGGGTGTCCCCAATGCGTATTTTTTTTTTTCGAATTTGGCTTTATTTCCATGTTTCGGACGAAATTTTCGTTCTATAAGAATGCTTACCCAAGAAATTCTTCACCTTCTCGTTGTATACAATAGTACAGTCCAATAGCTATTTATGAGAACAGAGTCTATAATCCCTAGCCATACAGAACTGCCGAGGTAATGGGTCGGAAATGTGAGTTATGAAGTTTCAAATAGAAGTTGTATTGTCGGTATACCATGAAAAAAAATATTTTACATCAAAATTCTATATTTTGAGTCGTTAATATGAGTTTTGAAAATCGCAGGTGGGTTAAACATTCGTAAATACGAATCACACCCTGGACTTAACAGATAATACTTCGTTTGAATCGTCATCATGATTTTTTTAATTGTAAATGCTAATTACAAAACCGTAAATATGAGTTAAAAATCTGCAAACTAAAGTTAGAATTTTGTTAATGGGATATAAAAATCTTTGATTTTCTATATAAATCTTGTTTCGAACCAAAAAGTCAAAAACTATGATTTTAAAGAAAAATAAAATTGTCGCTCAAGTAGTTTTCCTAACGCAATTGCAGGATGACGAATTGCAGGATAGCTTTTTATAAAGAGAATTGCTGGATAGCTTGACACTAGTTGTACTCTTTGATCGCATTTTTCTGTTTTAATGAATAAGAATGTAACTTATGTGCTTAACATAGAAAATAGATTTTTTTATATTAAATTCCATCGTTTATCCCTCGACGATGGAACATTGTAAACACAGGGCCCCATGTGCATACTTCCCTAGGTTGTACAAGATTCAAGGTAAATTGTATTCAGGTGTTTTCCAATAAATGTATTTCAAGTCTTAAAAAAATGTAAGATCACTAATGCTACCCTTAAATATTGTCGTTACCGCAATCCCGTCCTCTTTTCCTCGAATGTGACCTTCCTACAGAATTAGACTTTGTACTCACATGAGCAACACGATGGGTGCCACATGTGAAGCAGGATCTGCTTACCCTTCCGGAGCATCTGGGATTACCCTCGTTTTTTTTTTGGTGGGGATCGTGTTGCTCAGTCTTTAGCTTTCTATGTTCTGTTTTGTTTACTGTTGTGTGTCTTTTGGTCGTTTTTCGTTTTTTACAATGACGTTGTCAGATTGTTTTCGACTTATGAGTTTGAATGTCCCTTAATTTTTGTATATTTCGTCTCTCTCTTGAAATGTTGCTGCATTATTTCAATACTTGATTCTGTTTAAGCTTAGAGTCGGTTACTAACTTGGAAACAATTGTATGATATCTTGCAAATTATGAAATTCAACTTTCTTATGCTCTCCATAGAAATTAAATACTGACTGAACCTATCAAAGGTTATTTGAAAATGTCTGTTGCAACATTTAAAAAGCAGTAACAACTTGTCAATGATTTTCTTAAATACCAATGATACCCAAAACCAATTAAAAATAATTAGCCTGATATATGCAAATATATCACTTACAAACGCTAGATCAGAATGCAACAATCCACTGGAGGCAATGCAAGCACGTGACAACGAGTCCACCGAGGCCATTCTATTTAATTGTCTTTCAACCGGATAATTAACTTTGTAATGATAATTTCAAACGCGGTGCAAAGTTTAAGCACGAGTCAGGGAATGATGTTCTGTGTGATTGTGTTACTTCTAATTTGTTTTCTATGTTGATAAATGAGTAAGTCTTTAAAAAATGGCTCATAAATTGTATTGTAGATTTTCTACTTCCAAAAAATGTACATTTTTATTGTGTTTTTGGTGCTTTTAATTTTCATTCACATACACTCTTACCACTTGATTCAATGCAAACTTGACCTTCTTGACTAAACTTCCCTTTTTGATTTGAGACACCATTAGATACAGTACACACGTAAATACCGTCGTCTTCATTTGCTTTCCTGATCTGAGATTTGTTTATAATAAGTTGACCTTCCGGTGTTCCATGGATACCACGAATGTGTTCATTGAATTCTGATCTGTGTTCCCAATCATAAAATGTATAATTGTCTGGTGTTCCATAGGGAATGCAAAGAAGCGTTATTCTTTGTTCTGTAATTGCATAGGCTACTTTAACATCTGGAGGATCTATAAAATGTCAAATAAATGTCAGGCATTCATTAATAAATGGGATGTGCTGTACGAATTTTGATCAGAATCATAGAATTACCCTTATCAAACAGTAATTTGGTTCACAAAGTACTTTATAGAAAACAAAATACTGAGCCACACAAAGCCAGCCAAAACCTCGGGGTGCTATCAGATACTCTCATGTGATCTGAATTTCGTAATTTTTGCTTTGATTTAAAAGTTTCTGGTAAGTATTATGTATTCACAAAATAAGAAGCCATGTACCTTTGATGAGATTTGTGGCCTCTTTAAAACAAATCCGTCCATTAAGAACATGCAATGACCATATAACGTAATGCTATTTTAATGCAATGCAATTGTTCATGTTATAATTCAAGTACTAGCAATTTAAAACGCCTTTATTTTTTTATTTTTAATGTATGTATCATCAAGTGTACCTAATTTAATTTGGAAAAATACATGGACTTTTTCAGTATCGAACTGGTCATCATCCAGAGTCCCATTTTAGCCGAGGTATTTGAAATGGGTCAACGAACGATAACTGGATAGATGAAGAAAGGGTCATGTAATATACTTCCACTGCTAGTTTCCAGGTAAGTACATCATATACATCAAACTGATATAATATTTCTATTTTTCAAAGTGATAACAAGACCAATATCGAAATGTTCATATGTGTGCAAGTATAAATATATTTGAAGTTACGATTTTTTCAGGTTGTGTAGATAGAACGCAGGCTGATATTTAATATAAGAAATTATAAAAAATGTTATTATCTATTCAAATCTTCCACCAATCTTAGCAATTATTGAATATATGTGGAAATAGTCTTCGCCTTTGGCTTCATATTTCAAACTTGAACAATGAATTAAAACTGAAATGTGTTTATACTTCAACACAGTTAGCATTCAATCATTTTCGATGTTTGACGTGCTATTATGGCATTCATCTATGACGTCAATATCGATGTATACGAATGTATCGTTTCTTTTTTTGTACTGTTTTATAACAAAAATAATTACATGTATATCATGTATATGCAGCTGAAAATTTTATAAAATTGTTTTATAATTTAACATATCAGACGACCGGAATTGGCACTCAATAGGGAACAACGAAAGGCCCTAATAAAGGGCTACCAAAGAGGGTTGCACGAGGTGAACTTGATAAAGGTTGTTCGGCCCTGAAGTCTTGGATAAGTAAGGATAAGACTACATAAATTACTCACATAAAACATTGATGGCAATTGAGGAATTCGATTTTGCAATGATATTTTCTGCAAAACACGTGTAATTTCCGGTATGGTTTCTATATACCGAATTAATCGGAAGGCAGAAATCTTTATTGAGTTCATCAAAATAAGTTGTACCGTTTTGTCTCCAAAACAAAATTTCATGATTGTTTCTTAACCATGCTATGTAATGTACGTGTGGATTACTGTTTGAATGGCAACACAATTCCACAGATTCACCTTCAGTAATTGATCCTTTATTCCGCTGAATAATCGTCAAGTAAGGTCTATCTATTGTAAAAAAATAAATGACGATTAACCTTAAGTATTCAAAGATGAATAAATCATATCATAAATATCTGTTTTCATAATGCAAAAATTCTTGTGAATTTTATATCAATTTCATCGAGTGTTGTACAGCTGCAGAAGCCAATAACATAGAAAATAATGTGGAAAGAAGAAAGTATGAAAAGAAATACAACGTTCAGATCTCTCTATCTTACTGATTTTACATAGAAGTCAATCATTAATTGAGATGTATATTTAAAAACTACTTTATTCCGATTTTTTTTTATTCCGTTATAACGCATCGGTTCACTACCCTCTATAAGCATGTTTAACAAAGATGAATGTGTCTCCAAGAATTTTTTAGTTTAAGTTATACCTTAATAACATAAAGTTTCAACTATGTCATAGATATTTTAATTTCTATAATAACATAACATTGATGTTTAATAAGAAATCCATCATTTTGAGTTGCAAACAAATGTTCGTTGGAACGTTATGCGTTTATATGTATTTAGCTTTCCAAATGTTTTGTCTCGAGAATACCTGTTAAAGTTAACTCTTTCTATGCACCGAAATCCGTATTGTACCTATGTATAAAAGGCGATATAGCGTAGCCAAAAAAAAAAACAACAGCCAACACACATACGTACACATCTTATTCTTAAAGAATATTATGTTCATTGGAAATCTGCATGTTTATATGGTCTGAACATCAAATGCATAAACTATTGGTATGAATAGAATAACCAGCATATTATTTTCATATTTAAAACTTACATTTATAGTCGTATATAATGACTTACATTGTATATCTAAGTATATTGTCCGAGACAGTGGAGATATCAACAAATCACTAACGGCATAACATGACATGTTTTGCATATGATCGAATGTAGTTGGTGTAAACTGATACAGCAGAGTGTCACTACTACCATTTGTAACAGTCTGACCCTCTTTACTCCAAATTAAAGTTGCTGATGGTATACCATTATTTACAGTGCATGTCAAGTTTATCTGAACTCCCTCTTTTCCATATATTATATTTTTCTCTGTAGCATTAATTATTTTTAAATTGGTCGGTGGTCCTTTGTAATATAAAGTATTATTCACTTGTTAAATGAAAGTATACAATATTTAATAAGTCAGATGAATATGTATTAAATTATGTTGAAGTTGTATGCTTATTGTTTTACTTGCACTTTAGACCGTTAATAATCATTATTTTCACCTACAATATATTTACGTTTGGTGGACATGTTTTAATAATTAGTATATTCATATCTTGACCTATATTAAGAAATTAACATTAATCGAAGAACTAAACTTTCATGGAGTAAAGGTTCCTTATGTTAACATTTAAGTTACCCCTTCCAAGATTTAACGGACTCCGTCATGATTTTGCTTACCGATATAGCATATCTTTGTCAGAAAAAAGCAAGTACATCTTCCACTTGGTGTACTAACAATGGCACTCTATTCTTTTCTCAAAATTGCACCTACGAGTGTAACTTTTCATCAAATTTTCGTCACCATGACGGGTTTGAATACATATAGCATCAAGTTATTTGATTTGCTTGGGTTTCAGAGTGGATGGTTTTAACAAAGCATATTTAACACATCACTGCAAATGCGCTGTTTTCGTAACTTCTGCATGATGATGTTAACGATAGGCTAAATATGGATTCTACCACTGCATTGAGTGTGATACTATATTTATCCACTCGAGACAGTTAAATTTTCAAATTTAAAACGCGAGGCTCGCCGAGCGTTTTAAATATTTAAAATTTAACTGTCGAGAGTGGATAAATATCGTATTACACGAGATTTGGTGGTGGAATCTGTTTCTCTAATGATTTTCAAACAATACGCAGGCAAATTTATTCCTTCTTTTCGAATGATCTGCAAAAGATGTGTTCTTTCTATGTGACGTCATCAGGCATGGTCGCCTTTGTTCATGCCGTCACAATAGGAAATTCAAAGGATAGCAATAAAATTCGACGTCATAATCGGATTTTAACCAATGAAGAACTGAGATCAAACGAGCCACACGTTGATTATTTTTTTTTTTTTATACAATGGGTGCAGAAAGGGATAAATTGACGAAGAATTAGAGACACGTTTATATATTACTTTTTAAGAACAGTGTGAAACCACAAATTACATCTTTCAACTCCCTGAGACAAATATTTGCTTTTTTTTTTTCTTTTTTTTTTTTCTGTTTTTTTTTTTTTTTTGCTATTCGGTTTAGAATTTTTTTGTCTTTTATGTTCCCAAACGTATTATTTGTTTCGCTTCCAAAATTTCTGGTGTCTAGCGCACCTGATGAAATTAATTCACGAAACACGCATTGTTTCCACTCAAAGCACTACAAACTATTTTATTAAACTTACTTTTACTATATATGTTGTAATTTCGAACATGAAAGTTACCATTGAAGAAATATGAGCACTGGTAAATACCATCATTTGAGTTCGAAAAGTTGTTTATCTTCAAATAACACTTTCCTATAGTGTAATTACCATATATATTGATATTTGATATGCTCAACATGGGGTTTATTTGTGGGCCATCTGAGTAGGGTATTAAAGGGTCATTCGACAAAGCATTTGACCCGTCTGGACCATTCCATGAACTTTCATTTCCACGAAAACATGTACAATTTAAGACAAGTGTGGCACCTTTGTCAACAAAAACTGTAGTGTTCTGTACAATTCCATCGCACTTGGTTCCTGTCAATAGATATCTTAAACAGATTATAAATAGACATTTGCGGAAACTAGGTCTATACCTAGGATTACACTTAGACTTACGGTTACAGTTGACGAAAAACACGGGGTCCTCTCAACATAAAAAAAATTAAACCCAATTGAGATACAAAGTAAAAGGAAATGATATTTTTTTTTATCATGTAAATAAGTCTTTTCGGACGACACAGAAATGCAGAAACTTATGGTCACAACAGATGTGAAGCGCCACAAAGTCACCATAACTTTGTGGGTTTTTTAATTCTCCGATGGCGTGTTCAACCTCTACTCTATAGTGTGTAATATATCTATTTATTTTTCTCCATTTCCTCTGCATATTCTGGGGTTTGTCTTATGTAAGGTGTCAAAACTGGATACATGTATCTGTTCGGATATATTTTGTCGCCTAGCAAAAACAGCTCAGTCGGGAAAAGGTCATTCTTGTCCTATATTTCTCATCAACATATATTGCTGATGCCAAAGAAATCCGCACTTAACATTACATATCCTATCTTTGTTCAATATTACAACTTGAGTGTGAATGCAGTGACTTTGTCTGTGTCCTGATAAATACTGTTTATGTGGTTCCGTTATCGGCCACAAACATTTCATCGATAGCCCTACTGCAAACGGAAGTTTTGGCCACCCACCATAGAAATAGGTATACATGTATGTTTCATCTGTGGTAGTCGAAGCACTATCGTCAACTATTTCAGAAACCATATGATAAGACGGGTACGATTTTAACCATAACATAAAAGAATAATTCTTTTTCCCGGTGAAAGCTTATGATCCCGATCGGTTTTCTCTCTGAAGAGATCATTAACATCGGCTATAATTTGAAGTAATGTTTCAGGAGTTTCACCTGTAAAAGGAAGACCGTTTGATTGCAAAACAAGTGAACACATCTCTACCATTCCAAAAGTGTACATCATTGCCTATTATATTTCCCTGATTATAAAAAAATGGTTTGTCGGTGGGACAGCCAGGGTTAGAATCAGATGACGAATGAAATGTGTACCATAACATCTGGTGGAGTCTGCATCAGGGCAGGTAATGCTGCCATGGTTAATCTGTGTTCTTCGTCCATATAAACGGGGGAAAATAAAATCAATGCACGAAATACATTTATCATTTATTCATTTTTCCGTATTAATAGTTCCACTCGCTCTACAAAAGCGGGCGGTATATAGTAATTGGGAGTCGTACATCTTTTATACGATTACACTTTTGTATCCGCAACTGCTCCCTAACCGACTTAAATAGTGTGTGGTTTTTTTAACAATAACGATAAAATCGTGCCAAATAATGTAAACGGTATTTTTCTACTGTTTTTGACGTTAAAGATACATGTAATAACTATCGCGTCGGCGATTTTTTTTAAATATCAGTTTATGATTTATTCCTAATGAAATATAAAAATATGTCTTTATAAATAATGTGTCACGCGTTTGATTAAGATTCGGATCCAATTAATATTCGTGTGTATTCAAATATCTATACAAGCAAAGAGCAATTAAGTCTAGAATGATGTAATATAGTTTTATTTGATAACATATAACTACTTTATTTCTAAAGAAATATAAAAAAAAAAATCATCGTTTAAAAAAATTGTTTGACTTGCATTAAATCTAAAATTGGGTTCACAGACATCCGTGTATTTTAAAAGACATCTTGAGTGCTTTAAGAATATTTAAACGAAATGCTTAGGGGTCTATACTTTGAAATGCTTGATTTAATTCAAAATGCAATGCATGTATATGTTTAATGCAACTTGAGTTACTTATATTTTTTTTAAAGGAAGAAACGATGCAAAGGGGCATTTAGAACCCATAAGTCGAAGAAAAAAGTCTCCACCATGCTCAAAAGAAAAACGACGAAATACAAACGAAACTCCACAAAAACTCCACAAAGAAACATTGATTTCATTTCTCCATGACGATAAAAAAAATCGACTGATTTTGACGAATCATGGTATATGTTTTCCCATTATAACGGCAACGTTTAAATAATTGAGACCTCTGACAAATAAGAATAATTTGACAAACCACAAAATAAATTGAATCAAGTTGACGCTAACGATAGCCGAAAATTACCATTTGGCGCCTGACGGTAAAAGGCATTTCAACCATCTTGAAAGATTTCTAGGATAACTTATTACAACACTGGCTCGTATATGTAAAGACGAATATATATTTTCATTGCATTGAACGATATTTGTTGTTTTAATTTTCTAGTTGATCTCGTTAGGCCGTCATAAAACAATTTATAGTGACAGAACTTATTGAAATTAATCAAACTGACAAGTTGTCACAGCAAGCTAAGAGTCAGTTTGGGGAAACTGGTAGAAAAAAATCTAGACACAAACAAACAAAAATCATACTAAACGTAAAAACCACGAAGAGCCACTAGCCTGACAAGTGTTTCAAACTGGTCCAAGTTGTCTTTCAAACTGGTCTGAGCTGTCTTTAAAAGTGGTCCGAGTTGTCTTTAAATTGGCCCGAGTTGTCTTAGTCCGATTTGCATTTGGTCCGAGTTGTCCTGATTCCACCTCAAGCTGCCAAGATGACATTTTTTACCGATATTTCTTTGAAATCCCTTTGTTAAACTATAGAAAACATCGTAGGAGTTAGTCTTTGTTTTGAACCGACGGTTTATATTCACACTTTGAAACGACCCAAGATTTAAATGCTACCTGTAAGTGTATTTGTAATCCTAATCGTAGGTGTATGACAGTTTCCGCAAATGTCTAATAGGCAATATCATGACAGTATTGTAAAGATACAAGAATCGGACCATCAGAAAATAAACTATAAAGAAACCCTTATGTATGTCCTCTTTCTCTCTTGACAAATTAAGAATACACTTTGGATAGAAGATTAATCAATTTTGAATAAAACAGGACTTTAAATGAACTGTTACATTATATCAGTATTTCACATGAACTAAATTGCACGTTTTTATAATTACAGCTAATGTTCTCAGGCATTGCATTTTAGTTGTACACTGATTTAAATATTTTAAATATTTTGCTATTCGTCAAAAAAATTATTTTAGAGTTTATACACCTTTTAGGTGTGTATAAAAAAAGAGAGCGGATTTAGATTAAAACGGAGAGGGTTGGAGTCTCTAAAACATAACCACAAGGTAGTTTGCCTGTTTCATGTTTTTTTTAAATAATGATATGTGGTATAATTGCCAATTGCAATAAGACAACTTTTTACCAGAGACCAAATGACGTGGATGTAAGCAACTATATATATACCGTACAACCCCATCATTGAGCAAAACACATATTGCATAGTAAGCTTTAAAAGGTCCTGTGATAAAAAAA